CTGATCTTGCTTTCCTCGTTTTGATGTCAATACATAAAAAGTCATGCTCATAATGCATGCACATCAATGTTTACATGCAGTGAAATTAGGGTAAAGGCCACAAATCCATGTGCTGATCTTTTTTTATTTATTTTTTTTTTTAAGTTTTTATGCTTCCGGTCAAACATTTGGGATAATTATGATTTGTTTTTATGTTTTTTAGATGTCTCTTATGCTCATCAAGGCTGCATTTACTTGATCAAAAATACAGTAAAAACGGTAATATTGTGAAATAAAAATTTTAAATAAATGTTTTTCATTTGAATATATTTTAAAATGCAATTTTTTTTTCAATGTTGAAAACAGTTGTGCTGCTTAATATTTTTTGGAAATCATGCTACATTTTTTTTTTTCAAGATTCTTTGATAAATAGAAAGTTCAAAAGAACAGCATTTCTTTGAAATAGAAATCTTACTGTCACTTTTGATCAATTTGATGCACCCTTGATGAATAAAAGTAGGCTACTTAAAAAAAAATAATAATAATAAATCCTACTTACCCCAAACTTTTGAATGGTAGTTTATCACAGTTTCATCAAAAACATGAAGCACAGCTGTTTTCATTACTGATAATAATAATAAAAATCTTTCTTAAACATCAAATCAGCATATTAGAATGAAGGATCATGTGACACTGAAGATTAATGATGCTGAAAATTCAGCTTTGATCACAGGAATCAATTACATTTTAAAATATATTCAAATAGAAAAGAGTTATTTTAAATTGTAATAATATTTCACAACATTACAGTTCTTACTGTATCTTTGGTTGAATAAATACAGCCTTATCCACTTATTTCAACTCTATGTTGTGTGTATTATGACTCACATGTACACATGAGATATGTTTATTACGGCTAAGTGTGTGTGTGTATTTGTTTGTTATACTGTTTATTGTGGCAATGCAATGTGATACTGTCCCTAAGAAGCTTTGAACACCAACGCTATTTTATTGGCAAACTCTCAGCACCTCTCAGCATGCAAACTCGGCGCGCATGTGTTTGTGTGTGCGTTACATAAATACAGGAAAACAAGCTGTCTGCTATAGCGCCACTGTTTATTATCTGCACTCATAAACATTTTAATCAAATTAAACATCAAATCCGAATTTAATTATGCACTTTAAACATTTAGAAAACGTGTTTATATTAAAATTAGACACTGTAAAAGAGACCACCCACACATTTGTAGGTCAGTCCAGATTTGAACATTAAAGCCTGTGCGTGTAAGAGTTTGTAAAAACGTTTTTGAAACTATGGTGGGCTTTCTCATGTCGGATGCTTCATTGTGCAATTATTAAATCTCTTCAGAGCTCAAAACTGGAATAAATTAGCGTTCTACATGTGTGTTTAGCGCACTCTGACGGCCTCAGTATGTACTAACTGTTGTTTGTGGCAACTCAAACCTCCCAGTCATCCAAATGAGAGCGAGGTCTTCGTGTACAGTCTGGGAGAATGTTTGTGTTTCAGCTTTTAAAGAACACTTTTGGGCTCTTATTTGAATACTTTGAATATTCTTTTTAAAGGAATAGTTACACCAAAGATGAAAATGTACTCACCCTCAAGCCATTCAAAATGATGATGAGTTTCTTCATTGGAACATATTTGGAGGAATATAGCATTACATCACTTGCTCCCCAATGTTCCTCTGGAGTGAATGGGTGCCGTCAGAAGGAGAGTCCAAACAGCTGATAAAATGTGTTTCAGCTTTTAAAGAACACTTTTGGGCTCTTATTTGAATACTTTGAATATTCTTTTTAAAGGAATAGTTACACCAAAGATGAAAATGTACTCACCCTCAAGCCATTCAAAATGATGATGAGTTTCTTCATTGGAACATATTTGGAGGAATATAGCATTACATCACTTGCTCCCCAATGTTCCTCTGGAGTGAATGGGTGCCGTCAGAAGGAGAGTCCAAACAGCTGATAAAAACATCACAATAATCCACACCAATCCAGTCCATCAAGTAATGTCTTGTGAAGTGAAAAGCTGCGTGTTTGTAAGAAACAAATCAATCATTAAGGTGTTTTAAATTTAAACCGTCACTTCTAGCCAAAATATGAGTCCATAATCCATAATAATGCTTCATCCATAAAAAATAAAAATAAAAAAATCAATCCCCTGTTGTCCTCTCACATCAAAATCCACACACATATTTGTTTAGAAATGTTTTGGATGGTTTGGGTCTGTAAATGGTGTTTGATCTGTGCATATTTCTCTCCCGATTCAGATGAAATTACTTTTTCACTGGAGAAAGCAATATAAGATTTGTATTTCAGCTGGAAGCGCAACGGTTTGAAGTTAAAAACATCTTGATGGATTTGTTTCTTACAAACACGCAGTTTATCACTTCACAAGACATTAATTGATGGACTGGAGTGGTGTGGATTATTGTGGATTATTGTGATGTTTTTATCAGCTGTTTGGACTCTCATTCTGACGGCACCCATTCACTCCAGAGGATCCTTTGGTGAGCAACTGATGGAATGCTAAATTTCCTCTAAATCTGTTCTGATGAAGAAGCAAACCATCTACATTTTGGGTGGCTTGAGGGTGAGTATATTTTTCCCATAATGATCAATTATGGGAAAACATAACACTCCTTTATGCTATTAGGCTGTCAAAACACTCTCACTACTCCTGAACATCTATATAACAAATGAAAAAATCCAGATGTAGTGATAGAGAAGATGATTCCTTAAAAAGATGGTCCCTAAATGGGTCAACCACTTGCATGTATTACAGAATGGTATTCATATTATGACTAGACCACTAAAAACACTTTAAGGTTTTATATGAGTTACATACCGCAAAAATCTATTAGCATTTCATCCATGTATGCCAAAGTGGTATGTGTGCCAGCGCTGAAAAACATCATGTACAAAGGGGTTCTGCAAGTTGTTTTGTTCTGTTGTTTGTTTGTTTCTGTAAGTTAGACATCAGGAAATGACCTCATAGGTATGATGTCATTGGTAAACATGTTCAGATGTGTCTTGAGGCTGCCTCAGTAGCCACACCTGTTACACTATGCCGCAGGTGTGCCATTGTAATGATGAAAGGTACCTTTGGAGCTTTCAATGACCATGAAAGAGGTACAGGAAAATGTTTTACTGAGAAACCAACACAGAGACAGGTTCTTTCTAACTTCAAAATTCGTTTTTATAAAGCAAAAAAATGTTTGTTTGATTTTCACAATGAGTTGTGCTAATCAACTACCTCTCTCTGAGCTGGTCTTGCATTTACAGAAAGTATAATATTTTTACAATTTTTACTTGAGGATCATGCTGCCAATAAAGGGAGTCAGACCCTGCAGCACCTCAAAAACAAAACTGAACATGCTTTTCTAAGATGAATACATGGAGTAATCAAATTTCAGTAATACTGTAAGGAGGACAAAATAAAGTATGGGTAAAACTTGCCCCGCAGGAGTGTTATTTCATTTACAACAGAGGTCAGGTCTTGCAGCTGCTGCTGGTAGAGACAAGTAAAAACAGGTTAAGATGATGACTAACAGGTCAGGGTTGGCCAGAATTAATATAAATGACATATTTACCATGGTTCTCCAGCTGTTTCTACTTTACAATGTCGACATTAATTTGAATAAAATTTTCAGTATATTAATTTGAACATCTAAATCCATTTTAATAAAGACAAAGTAAATAAAACTTGCATATCTTCAACTTTTAAACCACATTTTTACATTTCCAGATGCTTTTGCTTTAACACCCCAGAATGCTGGGCAAAAGTTAGACATCTGTTTTATATTTGAAGCATACTGATTCACTGTGTATCACCAGTCAACTTTAAACAGCACAAGAGCACGGGCACATATCTTCACTGTCATAGGTTTAGACGCTTTGCATGGTGCAAAGTTTTATTTATTTACATTTTAAATGTGCAGCAAATGATTTCAGACATTTTGCTAAAGTCTGTAAAAAAACAAAACTGTTATCTATTCTAAAAACCCATTGGATTTTGAGCCAAAATCCAATGGGTTTTTAGAATAGCAATTTGATTTATGAATACAAATATAACAAATTACACAGTCATATTTGAGGTACAATTGTGCAGCGTTTAGGTTATAGAACAAAACATGAAAATCTATTTGACTAATGTTAAGCACAGGCCTTATTTTAAGAATGAACGGAAATCTGACATTCTAAAAAGGTATTGAAAATCACTATTTGGCCTACAAAATGACGCCACGATTAAACAACGCCAACCCGTGCAACCACGCCCACTTTCCTTATAACCCCGCCCACAAAAGCCTTGACAGAAAACCTCATGTCAGCAAACCTGAACGCGCAAAATGATTGACAGGTAGAGGGCGTTCGTGATTGGGTAAAAAAGGGCGGCCCGCTGCTCAGATTCAGTGTGTGACTCCAGTTTGCAGTTCACATATGATTGTCAAAGAAACAGAGATATTTATTACAGTAATAACACGGGCGATATATGATTGGTATTCAAATCGCTTACAGAACATTTAAGGCCAGTTCTGGGACGGTAGAAGTGTTTAACCTAAATAACCGAGATTATCTGAGGCGAGAAAACTTGATATCCATTCCCTTGAGCAGTTAAACTGCGGGTAAGGACTCCAGTCAAATCTATTCATCCAAATCTTTTGAGTAAAATGATGAAATCTTTGAGAGAAAGGAAAGCAGAATGCGTGCAAAATACTTCGAAATATGAATCGGATGACTTGACCAGACTTGTTATAATTCTTTTTGTATGTTTTCCCTGCATTATGTGGGAGGACAAGGTGGTGATTTGACTATATTATGTCAGGCAGTTTCGGTCATAGGCACTATAGTACGTGATTTCGGGAGCTGTTGTATTATTTCAATGTGGTGGAGCGGTCTGCACAGTTCGCGCATGCGTGTCACCACCATTCCGATGAACTGTGGAGTTAGGTGGGTGTGGGGGGGGTCGAGCACAGACTCCCTCATCCATGGCTGCTGCTGAGAGTTTCAGCGCATCAACAAGAAAAGAAAACTTAAAGACTATGTATTTTAAAAGCTGAAACGCGGGCTCGCACCGATTCGATGATTTGGGAAGCTCGCGCAGGAACTTTTTCTTCCTGACAGGAATCTGAGCGCGCGGCTTTCTGCGGACGCAGTGAAATGAATCAAATTCTATTGTGATGTAAAAATGAAGTCGGAAGCGAGCAAGGGCTGACAAACGGAGTTTAAAAGTGAGACCACTGCCCGGAGAAGTAGTACACGAAATCAGATTTGACTGCTTATTTTCAAATGTAAATTTTTTGAAAGGCTGGAAAAGTTGTGGTGTCGTTCCTTGAATCTGACTGGCAGGTAAGGGATGTAAGGTAGGTGCTAGAAACAAGAATCGGGATTGTTAAATTATCCCCAATGAAGTAATTCGAGGAAATGACCCATCAAGTTTTGACTGAGAAGAAACATCCTTGGACGGAGTTTATTGGTTGACTGAGTTATTAAGGGGCGACCTCGTCCATTCTTTTCCCCCAACATTCCAGCGATGGATAATAGTTTTCCAGGCAGCAACAGTGCCGTGATCCAAAAGGGAAAGTTCGTGTTCGTCGAGGCTCAGTTGCAGGGTGGAGCGCCCTGGGGTTTCACGCTCAAAGGTGGGCTTGAACACGACGAGCCGTTAATCATATCGAAGGTAAAGTATCACCTTACTCACCTGTCTTTCAGATGATGAATGTCTGTGTGTCTGTCACCTGAATATAACAGCTTCAGCCCTCAAAGGGTCAGAATGTGTCAGTCAGCATGTTATACGCCAGAGAGAAACATAATGAGGGATTCATGCTTTGTGGCTGCCTGGAAGTGAAATGGAAATTGTGAATGTAAAGATGCCAGAGAGCGTATGATACAAGGATTTGAACACTCAAGTCACACTTAAAATGTTTGAATGTCATTGCATATTAGATAACAAGATGTCAAACCAAGTGGCAACATATCACAAGCACACGTTTTAAACTCTGTTACACTGTTTAAAATCAAGACAAACAGTATTTTTGATACTTTTTGATAGTTAAATGTTAGTGGGACATGTCTATAGATGTGGTTAATGTGATGGCAGCACCTGTGGTTATGGCTATTTTGGCTTGGACACCTGTGTGATCTTATTGGTCACTGTGATGTTGCTGGATTAACATCAACAACAGTTTTATCAAACGATCACAGTCCTAAACTTAACCCTAACCATTTACTACCACTAAACTAGAGGGAAATGATATGTTGAGGTGTACAAGCCTCTGAAACTAGACCTTACAGAACTCTGGCCCTTTCCCAATCATTCTGATTGATTGATGTTGATCCACAATGATGTTCTAATTGGCAAAATCAGGGTTGCCGAACTTCTTACATTCACTAAAATTATTTTAGTGTCAGTTAGATTAAAAGTCATTGCAAAAATGGCTCTGAAATGTGACTTTAGTTAGTTCTGAGAAAATGTAGACTGTTTGCAGATGCCACTTGGTGTGGTATTACTAATGCAGTGACATTCAGATAAGTATCCAAATAAGTTTTGGTGCCACTGTGTTTTTTTTACGCTAGTCATATTACATCATAAAGTAATAAAATATTATATATTAAAATAATGCATTTGTTGATATGCATCTCATGTTATGTTTATGGTTTTTACTTATGAAGGTCACTTAAGGTGCAGTGCAGACTGCAGACCGTAGGGTCCGTATGTCACATACTTCTTAATGAGAGGGAGCGTCCTTCAGGCATCTAGACGGTAATTGCTGACTACAGGGTCAGATTCTTGGTGTGACATCCAGACCAGCGTGAGTAACAGATTTAGACCTGCTACATTCATAAAACAGTTTTTCACATGCTCCTGTTCAATTCTCCCACATGACTGGAGTCTGAGCATAAAAATAATAGGCAATGGAATTCTAGAATGGTATATTTGGGGGGAAATTTTTTTTTTCTGTATCAATATAAGTTTAATTTAGGCTTTTATATTTTTAATTTTAAATTAAAATGTTTTTCTGCCAATGTAGAAGTTGATGGTGGTCAATGCACCAATGTTGTTACAGTTCTCAGGTTGTTTTTTAAGGTTTCTGGGTGGTTGCTAGGTTCTAAGTAAAGTTGTGGTGTTACTTAATTTTATTCAGCAGTTTTCACTGGCAAAATCCAGTCATTTCAATTGGAAACCACACTCGCAAATTATGTGTGAGGGCAAAAGACTTCCCCACACAAATTTCGCAACAGGTTCAAATTGGTCATGCGGATTTGCCACGTTGACAAATAGAAATCTGCTTAGTTTGAAAGTGATTTCTATGTGGGCTGACCTTCTTACATCGCTACACTATTGACAATAGACAATGGGCATTTTGTTGACAACATTTTGTCAAAGGTTTGTTAATGTGACCTAGAAGTCTCTATGATATTCTCATTCCTAGATGGCTTGAGTCCCTCTTTAAATGTGAGTTTATGAGATTGTTTTCACCCGTTACATTGTCTGATAGGCAAAAATGATAAAGATTAGAAGAAGTATTATTCAAATTTGTATCAAAAGCAGAGTGGTTTTAATATACTTTTAAGTGGTTTTAAGTCACTAACCCTCCCTAAGTATTAGAAGTAGTTATAGTGGATCATTAGGTCATTTTGATGGGGATGGTAATGGAATTAATCAGAGATTCCCGACCCATGTATTTTTTTCCTTGGAAACAGGAAACACAACTCATTTCTTTCCCAGTAAGGAAGTAAACCAACAGAAGCAATAGGCTTATCTAGTCACATTAGTTTAACTTATTACAAATAAGCAACTGCAATGAAGCTTGTGATAAAGTTTGCAAGTTTCTAATGAAAAGAGGCATTCTAATTTAAATCTGGTGTCTTTTTTTATAGTGCTTGGTGAGGAATTGTGAACTTCTGTCATATTGATCAGAATGGATTCATCTATTCAGGTCTGAATTGTGAGTCCTGACTGCAAACTGGTGGTTAATCTTTGATCTTGTGAGCAGAATGAGCTCTTTTGCACTGTAGTGGATCAGTATTGATCAGTCATGTTGGCTAATCAGTGCACTGCAGTCAGGGAGACACATGGGAATGAAATGAAAACATCCCAGAGAGTGAAACGCCTAGATTAGGCCTCACAGGAGAATTCCTACTTTATTATATGACATGTATATATTCTGTCTAGTTCACCCAGAGGAGGTAGGGCTTTATCTTTGAAGAATAATGGAGACTAATTGTTGGCATCACAGGGGTTAAATGCTTTCCCCTTGAGATTGATAAGAGTTTTATCACTTTTCTGCTGTGTGACTGTGTGACTGTGTGTGTGTGTGTGTGAGTTTTAGCTGTACAAGAGATTACTAACCCTTGAATCACGCCAGTCCAAATGCATGCAGCAGAATGTTTGTGGTACATGACCAATAATCAATGGGGGAGAACTACACTTGTTTTATGGGAAGGAAAGAAAGAATATAATTAGACTTGACATGAACTTTAGCAGGTGCTTACAATCATGAAATTGAACAAAAATTCCAGAGCTCATTTTGTGACTAATCCTGGAAGATCTCATGTAGGAATATTAATTTCCCCAGACTCAACTTTCCTGGGGTTTTAATCATGTAATTTCTACAGTCATGATCTTTGGTGTGGTTTGCAAGCACTCAGTAATGGTATGTTTTAGCAAAAACCCAACATTTAGGTTCTGTAGTGTTCTTGAGTTGCTATGTGGTTCTTGGGAGATATTATAGGTTCTTCAAATCAGTGTTTTGGATTCTAGATTTTTTGAGCATTGGTACATGAAACTAGAGAATTGTTAAATAAAAGTCTTTGTGGAGATTTAAAGTTCCACCAAAACAGTGTAAAACCACTTTTTAGGAGTATTTATTGGTTAAGTGAACACAAACATTTTAGATTTACAACTTGATATAAAAAGTTCATTTGATTAAAATGCATGACTGTATTTGTTTGGAGGTGTTTTTTTAAACGGTGAGTAGTTTCCTGGGATTTTAATTACATTTATCTCATTTCTACAGTTGTTAGCTTTAGTGTGGTTTGCACTCAATAATGGTTCTTCTTAGAAAAACCCAACATTTAGGCTCTATGTTGTTCTTGAGTTGCTATAAGCTTCTTTGGAAATTGACATTATAAGTTCTTCAGATCAGTGTTTTTAGGTTCTTTGAAGCATCAGTACATAGATAAAACTAGATAATTAGTGAATAAAAGTCTTTGTGGAGCCTGCATTTTATTGGTAAAGTGAACATTGTTCCAAATTTTAGATTTACAACTTGATATGAAAGGTTAGTTTGATTAAAATGCATGGCTCTATTTGTTTGGAGGTGTTTTTTTCTTAAACAGGGAGTAATTCTTGGATGGAAACAGGCAAAAGCAGAGGAGATCCCCGTCCTGCCTTATTTGGTGCTCTGGATTTCTGGTCTTGAGTTATGTCCTCCGCTGCCTGACTCCAATCTCTCTCTCTAGCCTCTCAGAAAAACTGATAAATATCCAGATAGATTGTGGATTCGCTGCTGCCATGACAATGGGATCCCATAGCCCATGCTCTCCTGCGTTTATACAGTACCTGTTATGTTAAACTGCATAAACAGGAATTGATTACAATTATATTTTCTGCTTGGTAACAGATGTTTCCAAAGCATGAGGATCTGTACACTCTACACCCAATCTGACCCTAAAAGTGTAATTTAGGATTGCATACCATAGCAAATTCAGTCTATCCTGGAATCAAAGATCCAGACTGAATAAACCCTTTGGCTGCATCCCTGTTTACATTGTATTCATCCTAAATAGCATGCAAGATTAGGGTGAAGTCCCAAATCATAGTACAGTGAACGCAGAATGTCAAAAGTACTGTATATACTGTTTCTGTTGTATTTTTGAAGTATGCATTTGTGTGGGTATTTTGTGATAGACTGAAATAGTGCCCGAGATTAGTCCACTTTGAGATTATCAAAATGTTTAATTAAATAAAATTGAAGTAATAATGAATTGTATCTTGATGCAAATGAAAAAGGTACAATCTATCTAACACTATATATATATATATTTAAATGCACAATATTTTCCAGTACATAATGAAAAGTACACTACCGATCAAAAGTTTGTTTCTTTTATGTTCACCAAGGCTGTATTTATTTGATTATAAAAACAGTAATATTGTGAAATATTATTGCCATTTAAAATAATAATTTATTCCTGTGATGCAATGCTGAATTTTCAGCATCATTACTCCAGTCTTCAGTGTCACATGATCCTTCAGAAATCATTCTAATATGCCGATTTGCTCAAGAAACATTTCGTATCATTATCAATGCTGAAAAAGTTGTGCTGCTTAATATTTTTGTGGAAACCGTCATACATTTTTCTGTTTGGGATTCTTTGATGAATAGAAAAAAAAACGCAAGTGTTTTGTAACATTATAAATGCCTTAAATGTGATTTTTGATCAATTTAATGCATCCTTGCTAGGGATGTAACGATTAACCGCGAGCCGGTTGAAAATCGATTAAAATATGTGACGATTCAAATCGATTGAGATGCTAAACTAATCGCGATTCAATTAGGGGTAGGAGTTTATTTGAATGTATGTCTGAGGGGAACTTACTGTCTTTAGAAAAGTTTAGATGGTATTTTTTCTTTTCATCTTGCCTCTGTATAAAGCATATTAAAGTTCATAAGT